AGAGGCCAGGGGCTCACCACCTGAGACACACACACACACACACACACACACACACACACACACACACACACAACCTAGATTTACCATATTTCAACATGGAAGTGCGAGCTCCGGCTCACACCAAATCACCAATAGGATCACAAACTATTGAAGGTTGCACCTCTGTCCAGGGCAGAGCAGCCCAAGAAGATAAAATGTATTGTAAGACCTTAATTCGGGGTCAGTGGATGGAACTTCTGCGGGAGCTCTATCTCTCTGATCCCAGCGCTGTAAGGCCTAGCTGTGATCAGACTTTCAGTAAACTTTCTGCTGATTTTAAACAGTCCTCTTCTGTCGTCACTTCTTGTGCTTCCAACAAAAGAATTGGGTTAATTTCTAACAATCCAAAGTTCATGGCCATAGGTGAGGGTAGGAACATAGATCGACCGGTAAATTGAAAGCTTTGCATTACGACTCTGCTCCTTCTTCACCACAACAGACTGATACAGAGACCGCATTACTGCGGACGCCGCACCAATCCATCTGTCAACCTGCCACTTCATTTTTCCCCTCACTCGTGAACAAGACCTGAAGATACTTAAACTCCTCCACTTGAGGGAGCAACTCACCCCCAACCTGGAGAGGGCAATTCACCTTTTTCCGATTGAGAACCATGGCCTCGAATTTGGAGGTGCCAATTCTCATCCCCACCGCTTCACACTCAGCTGCAAACCCCTCCAGTGCACACTAGATTTTGAACTGATGAAGCCAAAAGAACCACATCATCCGCAAAGAGCAGAGATGAGATTCTGTGGCCACCAAAACAGACACCCTCCGTTCCCTGGCTGCGCCTAGAAATTCTATCCATAAAAATAATTAACAGAATCGACAAAGGACCAGCAATGCAAACCAAGCTCCTACTCCGGTCACACAGGGAACAGACAGCCCATAACAATGAGCCCCACACCCTATAATCCCGAAGTACCTCCTACAGGATGCCGTGAAGAACACGGTCGAATGCCTTCTCCAGATCCACAAAACACATGTAGACTGGTTGGGCAAACTCTCATGAACCTTCCAGTACCCTAGTGAGGGTATAGAGCTAGTCCAGTGTTCCACAGCCAGGGCTGTGGAACACTGGACTCCAGATTGAGGAGGAGTCAGTGTTCCTCCTCAATCTGAGGTTCGACTTTTGGCCAGATTCTCCTCTCCAGTACCCTGGCATAGACTTTCCCGGGGAGGCTAAGAAGTGTGATCCCCCGATAGTTGGAGCACACTCTCCAGTCCCTCTTCTTAAAAAGGGGGACCACCACCCTGTTTAGCCAGTCCAGAGGCACTGTCCCCCAGTGCCACGCAATGCTGCAGAGGCGTGTCAGCCAAGACAGCTCCACAACATCCATAAACTTGAGAAACTCGTGGCGAACCTCATCCATCCTTGTAGCCTTGCCACTGAGGAGTTCCTTAACTACCTCGGTAACTTCAGCCAGGATAATGGACAAGTCCCCTCCCGAGTCTCCAGCCCTGGCTTCCTTTGTGGAAGGCGTGTCGGTGGGATTGAGGAGATCGTCAAAGTACTCCTTCCACCGGCTGACGGCATCACACAGCAACACACCACCTCCACTGTAAAGAGTGTTGGCAGAACACTGCAGCCCCCTCCTGAGCTGCCGGACAGTTCTCCAGTATCTCTTTGAAGCCAACCGAAAGTCTTCCTCCAAGGCCTCACCGAACTCCTCCCAGGCCCGAGTTTTTGCCATGGTGACTGCCAGAGCTGCGTCCCGCTTGGCAGCTTGACGGCATCCCTTATTTGCGGTGACCATCACCGTGTTTGGACATTGCCATCGCGACAGGCCCCGGAGACTTTACGGCCACAGCTCCCAGCAGCTGCCCCGACAATGGAGGTGAGGAACATAGTCCATTCGGACTCAGTGACCCCAGTCTCCCTCATCACCTGTTTGAAGCTCTGTCAGAGGTGGAACTTAAAGACCTCTCTGACCGGGGCCTCCGTCAGATGTTCCCAAAAGACCCTCACTATGCGCTTGGGCCTGCCAGGTCTGTCCAGCTTTTTCCCCCGCCATCAAATCCAACTCACCACCAAGTGGTGATCAGTTGACAGCTCAGCACCTCTGTTCACCTGAGTTTCCAAAATATATGGCCGAAGATCAGAGGAAACGACTACAAAACTGATTATTGTGAATATTGACTACACAATTCACAGTGAGTGTTTGATATTACACAACAGTTCACACAGTTGACCAACACTGAACTGCTAAAATATTTTTAAAATATTTTATACTAAATATCTAGCTGCTTATTTTTTACATAATATACACTATCCTTTAAATTTTCTATCCTTAATAACATCTTATGTCAACTAAATACTGTGCAAAACAAATATGGTCTTAAGTGGCCAGTGTCACAGCTTTTATTAGTTACTTCAGACAAAACATTTTAAAATTTAAAAATTTCTCAGTACAGTAACATCTGAGGGTATAAGGAGGTACATAGCTAACTATAACTGCAGGCTGTTATTATTTGGGAGGTTTTGGGGTCTTATCCTGAATTAATAACATGTAAGAGGGATGTCTGCAGGGAACTCTGTTCGCAGGTTCATGGTAGTCAATTAATGATTGAATATCTCCGCCAAAAAACCTCTAGCAGTGTTGGAGCTTTAATATGTTTGAAATATGCCACCTTAGTGTGAGAGGTTAAGTTTTATTCCTATGTCCAGGGGTTACCACATCATGGCATTCATACAGTGCCTTCATTGCATGTGACAACAGGGACAGTCAGTAAAGTAAACTTATGTGACGGTGGAGGTGACCCAAAGAACCATCTTCAGAGATGTGTCACTGAAGACTGTCCTTTGAAACAGGAAGAGATGAGGGAACAGAAGGAGTCTATGAAATGTCAAAGAGGCTGTTAGTCAAATGTCAGAGGAGGAGGAGGAGGAGCAGCTCTGAAGACTACCTGTTGTACGATTTGGTTGGTCAGTGGGTACATCCCATGTCTCTTGTAAGATCGTTTCTACATCATCGGTCGACTGAGGACGTAGGACGTTCCGAGCATGAGGTTAACATACTGTTGTCATTGAGCATGAGAACATTTTTCTTTTCTTTTTTTTTTTTTACATTTCTTCAGACTGAACAACTGAATGGTTAATGAAACCAGTCATCGATTAAGGGATAATAAAGCTAATAACCAGCAGAGCCGTAGATCAGAGTCTTGATATTTTACAGAAACCTTTTCTCCTCCTCCCTGATCAGCTGTGATGAATTTGTTTCAACCTGCATCCACCCATCCTACCTGTGTGTGTGGGTGTGAGTAATATAACTAAAACTACAGATTGAAGTGATGAATGAATTACGAAGAAAGTGAAAGAACAGGAGGTCAGAGAGGAGAGACAGTTAATAGGATGAAGTGTGTGTGCTACCTTGGTCATGTGACTCGGGTGTGTGGAACAACCTGGTTACCACTGGCAACAGGTCCTCGTAGGCTGAGCCGACTGACTGACAGGTGAGGTGGACCAGATCTACAGATACAAAATTTACATCAAAGTTCATCTGAAGACAGTCTCCACTGTAACAGAGTAACTGATAAAGGCTTCCATGGTAACAGAGCAACTGTTACTCCAAGCTCCTCGAGGACCTTCTAAACCACCTTGAGGACCCAAAGGGGCCATACAATGTCCTTGACATTTAAATCATTTTCAAGGACCCTTGTAGAACCTCCTCCAAAACCACCATATCTTCATCAAGAACCATTCAATATCTGTCAAGAAACCTCCTCAAGGACATCTACAGCTTCCTCAATAACATTAAAATTATGAAGGATGCTCTTAGCATCTTCAAGAACCTTGCAGATTACTGGAGACTCCTCTAGGACCACCAGAACTCACTGGGGACACTTAGATCCCCCCTAAGGACCTTCAAACCCTCCTCAACAGCCTCAACACTAATGTTTAAATCCTCCTTAACATGGAACATCTTCAGACAACCAACATTCCTTCTCCAGGACCGATCAACCACATCTTTAAGGACTCTGCAGTGCTCCTCAGAACCTTTGCTCTGTAAGCTCCATGCAGTGATGTTCCGCTCTTCGGTCTAAACAAAGATCTGAGTTTACAAAGCATCCGATTCTGCAGATGAAGGAATCCATCATGTAAATTAAACATTCACCTGTTCAATCACAGCAGATTACATGTTGGAAATGTTTCACACATTTTATATGAATGTTCTAAATTTAAATCTGTTAAGACAAGTTAATGACATCAGAGGCCTGACCTCTGAAAAAACAGAAGTGAGAGAAATGAGCCCAGTGTTTGGTTTGCTGCTCTCTTCACAGCCAATGTGATGTTTTGTTTTAAAGGCGTTCAGGCCCACTGATGCAGTAACCAATCACACTGCAGCAGCATAAGATGAAGATGATGATGAAGACCTGACAGGCGTAATGCACG